ATCAGAGGATAGCAAGTTCGAGTCCCACTGCAGTCAGCATGTCGTTGTGTCCCTGGGCAAGACACTTCACCCCAAACTTGCTCTTGTGGGGATTGCCCACAGTACTGCATGTATGTAAGTCGCTTTGGATAAAAGCGTCTAGCAAGGGAAAGGTAATGTAATGAGCGGCAGAGGTCGGATGGCACATACAGGTAGACCAGCCAGGAGGGAGTTGAAGTAGTCTAGGCGTGAAATGACGGGAGCCTGGACCAGAACCTGCGCTGCTTTCTGCGTCAGGAGGGGACGTATCCTCTTGATGTTGTAAAGAGTGTATCTGCAGCAGCGGGATGTTTGCAGTGAAGGGCAGTTTGTTATCTAGGGTCACACCCAGATTCCTTGCAGTCTGAGTCGGGGAAACAACAGAGGGGCCGATGTTGATTGTTAGGTCAAGAGTAGGACAATCTTTTCCTGGAAGAAAAAGCAGTTCAGTCTTGTCAAGGTTGAGCTTGAGGTGGTGAGCAGACATCCACTGAGAGATGGTCAGTTAGACAAGCAGAGATGCGTGCGACGACCTGGGTCTCTGAGCGGGGAAAGGACAGAATTAATTGGGTGTCGTCAGCGTAGCAGTGGTATGAAAAACCATGCGAGCTAATGACAGATCCGAGCGAGTTTGTGTACAGAGAGAAGAGGAAGGGACCGAGGACAGAGCCCTGAGGGACCCCTGTTGATAATTGACAAGGGTCGGACCCTCTCCAAGTTACCCTGTAGGTGCGGTCTTTGAGGTATGAGTTGAGGATGGAAAGTGCAGAGCCTGAAACTCCAAGTTCGTGGAGAGTGCGAAGGAGGATCTGATGGTTCACCGTGTCCGTGTCGAATGCAGCAGACAGGTCCAGAAGGATGATGACAGAGGAGAGGGAGGCTGCTTTAGCAGTGTGCAGTTCCTCAGAGACAGCAAGGAGGGCAGTTTCTGTTGAGTGACCTGCCTTGAAACCAGACTGGTGCGGATCCAGAAGGTTGTTCTGATGGAGATAACAGGAGAGTTGTTTAAAGACAGCGCGTTCAAGTGTTTTAGACAGGAACGGGAGGAGAGAGACAGGCCTGTAGTTTATAACATCAGANGGTTTCATAGAGCTAAAACATTTGAAGTGCTACTCAACTGGCTTTAGATAAGCCAGTCCTCTATTAGTATATAAGTGCTTTGTTAATAGTTCTATCGCTCGAAGTGGAGTCAGTTTGCAGTTCCTCAGTGAATAGCAAGAGCAGTTTCTGTTGAGTGACCTGCCTTGAAACCAGACTGGTGCGGATCCAGAAGGTTGTTCTGATGGAGATAACAGGAGAGTTGTTTAAAGACAGCGTTTTCAAGTGTTTTAGACAGGAACGGGAGGAGAGAGACAGACAGGCCTGTAGTTTATAACATCGGACTATATCGGAATATCAGGAGCGATAGTCTGAAGGAGGTTTGAGGGGATTGGGTCCAGAGGACAGGTGATAGGGCGGAAAAAGAAGAGCGAATATCATCAACCTCTTTTTCAAAGTAGTTAACAAAGTCGCTTGGAAGAAGGGAGGAGGGGGAAGGGGCTCTGGGGGGTTCGAGGAGGGTGGAGAAGATAGAAAATAGTTTTTGGGGATTGGAATAGGAACATTGGATCTTATCTTGAAAGAAAGTGCTTTTTGCCTGAGAGATCGAAGCAGAGAAAGAGGAGAGGAGAGCCTGATAGGTTAGGAGGTCGTCATGGTGTTTGGATTCCCACCGTTTCCGCTCTGCTGCCCGAAGGATGGTTCTATTAGCACGCAGTGCGTCATTTAGCCAGGGAGCAGGACGGGACTGACGAGCCTGCCGAGATGTGAGACGACAGAGAGTCCAGAGAGGATGAGAGAGTAGAGAGGAGGGTTTCTGCAGCAGTTAATACGTTAGTGTAACATGTATTTTTTATCCACTTATTTTTTTTAGATCTTTAGTTATCAGGGAAACAACTTCAGATATTCCCAACACCAAACTCTTGTGCGGTTTCTAGAAAAAAATAGTTTATTTCCCTTTTGAGTCTTATTTTCTGTAATTTTGACATCATACTATCTGTCAGTTATAATAAATGTTGCCTAGTTAATACAATAGATTTTTGAACAATTGTACATTGCTAAAAATAAAACTACTGCTCTAAAACGCTTTATGCAATCTTAAAGATGAATGCATGAAAACCAGAAAGAATGAAGCAGCATGAAGGGTTGAAAGGTTTTTATTTCTGTAACAGATTCATTTACAGCAACAAAAACATCCACAGAGCTGCTGCAGCTACAATAAATATTCTCTACTATTCTCTTTCTGCACTTTGATTCTTTAGAGACAAACTCGAGTCAGTGTGAGGAAGTTCAGTTAATAGACTGAATATGACATTTTTTGGTAGTTAGAAATATAATGGAGTTTAATAACAACAGAACTACAAGAGAAGGAAGTTTTCATCAGTCTGCAAGTCTACATTTTGAAAGCTTGCAGGATCAAATTCAGCAGTTTTGTTGTTACCAAACTTTCTTAGAAACACAGAAACCCTACAGGATATAGCAACTTTTATTTTGAAGGAGAAGTGGAGAGAGCAGCCAGTGCCACACAGAGTTCAGTCAAATGTGTGAGCGATTGACAGACGAATATTTGATCGACTCTGTGTGTCCGCTGCTGCAGCTGCAGAAAGAGAATTGTGCGCTTCATTGACCAACACCTGGCGAAAAAAACATTACAATCTGGAGCGTTTTTAAAAGGGGACCGTTTGGCTATATTTACACATGGTTCAAACGTTTTACCAGGCGATGTTTCCATCGTCTGTGTGAACAAGACATAGAGGGTTCAGGTGGGTTTGTCTTGTGTGTGTGTTTCAGACATTGAGGGTCTTTTTGACAGAGAATATGATGTCTTTGATCTGCGGCAGACTGTTGTCCTCCAGGATTTTGGCGTACGGCATGGGGATGTCGACGCCCGTCACCCTGGTGGCCGGAGAGTCCAGGAAGTTGAAGGCGGGACCTTAAAAACACACATAGGAGGTTAAAATATGTTATATTATCCTTTGCCCTTAAATGTTCTCCACACTCACTGTTGATATTTCACATCATCAGCGGAGGGCGCTTTAGGATTTTGAGTTAAGTAATAGCATTGAAAGGGAGACTGTGTTTTCAGCATCATTTAACTGAAAAAAGTACTTTCAACAGTAGGAAACCAAAAGCAGCCCACACTATGTCGTGTTGTTAGCTTAACAGTTAAGTGGAAAAAAGATTATGGGGAATCGCTAAGCCTGCTTTCGACTTCGATCCTTTTACAATTTAGTTTTAAATTATGAGACACCTAACATACTCAAAATCTTTAAATGGGTCCAATGAAGTGCAACAGCTGTGAATGTGTATGTAATAAAATCATACTGATTGCATTTAAAATATTAAAAGAAAAGCTACTACGTTGGACACTTGTCAAATGTATAATGATATCGTCTTATGATATGTATGTATATTTTAGTTGTAGTAGTTCGATCGATTCAACAGTAATCCAGCTTACTTCTTTGTATTTTATACTGTGTATACATACATCTTTCTAGTGTTCATATTTATACATATTATTTCTATTTTGAAATCATGTGCAATGCCTGAAATCCTGCCGTGGTGTTTTAATTTAATTTTCTCAATTTGGGATAAATACATTTCATCTATCAATCCATCCATTACCTTCCATGACCCTGGCGCAGATCTCGGCCCCGACCCCAAACTGAGGCCAGCCTCCCTCCACCGTCACTAGGTGGTTGGTCTTCATCACGCTGGTCTCGATACACTCCACATCCAGAGGGCGGATTGACCGCAGGTTGATCACCTGACACACACACAGACAGACAGGAAGTAGTTATCAGGCCACTGCGCAAAAGCTCATCGGAGTCAGGTAACATCAGATGTGTCTCTTTCTTTTACCTCGCAGTCGATTCCCTCCTTGGCGAGGACAGCAGCAGCGTCCAGGCAGTGACTGACATACCGAGAGTGAGTGACCAGAGTGATACTAGTGCCTGAAACACAGGAAGGAGGAGAAAAAAAAGAGGATTTAGAAATACAGCTCTTTCCGACAGATCTCTCACGACCAGCTCGCATCGAACTTACTTATAATTATGTTTTATAAATCAGTATATTTAAATTTTTTGAAGTGAGCGGTTTATTGGTTGTTAGGATGTTTATTTGGCTAAAGTGTGTTCTACTGTATGTGTGTCGTCCCCAGAAAGAATACCTTATCCTTATTGTGATCCTAATAAAGTATAATAATAAATAATGATAATGATTTCAAGGCTCTCAAGGTCACCGCCCAAGATACTAAAACACAAAACAAAGAGGTCGATATTGATCTACATGCTGGAGATATTTGTTATGATGAGCCATTATGATGATTCATCACAGTGAGGTTGCCAGTTTGGTTTAACATCGAGTCTCACCTTGTCTCTCGACCTTGGCCTTGCCGAAAGGAATGGTGAAATCTTTGGACTGCGACTCCTCTGACATCTCGAAGGGAACGCCGTACATCAGCTCGTTCTCCAAGAACACAACTGCCACACACACACACACACACACACACACACACACACACACACACACACACACACACACACACACACACACACACACACACACACACACACACACACACACACACACACACACACACACACACACACACACACACACACACACACACACACACACACACACACACACACACTTCAGTAAACAAACACGAACCCCCGTTACTTCAAATTAGTGGTGATTCTCTCTGTTGTCTCACCAGGGTTGTTGTCTCTGATGGCAGACTTCAGGAGGCCTTTAGCATCTTCTGCGCTCCAGGGACTCACGACCTTCAGACCGGGACAGTGGCCATACCTGCAAGATGATCAAAACAACCACACTGACTACAAGTTTGAAGATTCATTCTTAATCGACACATTTTATGGCTGAATACAAGTTTGAACGCTCTGCACGTTTTTTTTTATTGTCAATTGATTCTGTTTAAAGCTGGTATTTCTGGACGGTTGCAGTAAAGGACATGGCTACAACATGAATATTAGTATAAGAGTATTTACAGATTTAGATTCCAGTGATGGATGCTTCGTTTCGATTGATGCGTCCTTTGTGTTGACCCGGGGATATTAATAACGTTATAGAAATAACAAATCTACACCAACAGACTGGTACTAGTTATATACTTTTAAAAAAGTTAGTTTGATAAGAAAATAATACATTTATTTAATTTAAATAGTGGAACTGTTATGAGGATTATTTGGGGAGATGTCATGAAAAAAAAAAGATATTGATTTAAAAACCCCAACAGAAGCTTTCATATTTAAAAATACTGACCCAGAACGCCTACTGTTACTTAAAATGCTTCTACTACCGGCAAAAGATAAATAATCCTTTGGGAATTACATTCACCTTTTCATAAATTTGACTGCTAGAGTTCTTTCCCCATGTTTTTCAGCAATTAATTTGGGGGTGAGTAAAATCTATTAACAATGATACAATAGGTATTAGAAGGTTTTAGTAAAGCTATAAATAACTACGGACACAGTATTAAAAGCCAAACGAAAATAGTATCAGGTGCAAGCAGTTGTGGAAAAAGTGCTCAAATTCCTTACTTATGTAAAAGTAAAAATGCTAGAGTCTAAAAATACTCTGAGAGGTCCTGAATTCAAAATGATAATTAAGTGGAAGTACAGACATGTTATCATTGAAATGTACAAGTATCAGAATGAAAAGTTCCCTTTATAGAGAAAGTATTTTCTGTATTTATCACGAACTAATACATTAAAGAGTATTTTAATCTTGTAGTTTGTCATGTTTCGCTTATTGTTAATACTGCGTACATAAGTATTACAGTACATCATCATGTTATTAAGCATATCATTTGCTGTCATTTGTAAAAAAGTACCTTGCAACTATGAGTGTAAAATCGTAGTTGCAGGTAGAGTTGTGGAGTAAAAGTGCAATAGCGTTGTATGAATTTGAGTGGAGTAGAGATAAAAAGAACACAAGTGAAGGGCAAGTCAAAATAGTACTGAAGAACAATACTTAAGAAAATGTCCTTTGTTACATTTCAGTACTGGGTGTAAGTGAACGCACCATGCAGCGAAGCACTGCGAGTGCTGCGCAGCGACGCCGGCGGACGCTCCGTTGGGGCCTCTGAACACGATGGGCACCGACTGCTGCCCGGCTGACATGTAGTACGTCTTGGCTGCAGAGTTGATGACCTGATCGATGGCTTGCATGGAGAAGTTGAAGGTCATGAACTCACAGATCGGTCTCAGGCCAGCCTGCAGGGGACAGAGGTTGAATATTAGTTAAAGAGTAAAGAAAAGTAGTAATTGTTAGAGTTCCTGAAGATAATCAGGCATGATGTTGTTGTCGACCTTCATTAAAATGTAAAATATTTCAAATGTAACAATGTATCATATTTTACATTTGATTTGTTTTATGATGATGTATATCTTGCTGTGATCATACAATGATACACTACAGGATCAGGTCTACACTGTGTGGTGAATCTGAACTACTCGATACAGCATCTGAATTATTTTGTTGATTTCTTTTGTCAAAACAGTCTGGTGAATTTGATGGTTAACTGATAATGGCTTCAGTTCCCTTAACGTTAACGCAGTAAAAAAGAAAATCTAAATATGACATACATTTAAACTGATGTTGATTTATTCAGGTAGCTTAGATGTATTTGCTGCTGCCTCCATCCACAGCAGTACATGTATTTACTTCTGTGCTGGTGCTCAGAATACTCTAGGTCAAACTCTGACTATATACTGTATAGTCGGAGTGCAGGTCTCCCTTGGAAAAGAGATCGTTGATCTCAATGGGATTTCACCTGGATAAATAAAGGCTACAATATAAGTACCACACACATCCCCACTTCATGAAGTCTGAATGATCCCTTCAAAAAAAACAATTTACCTGACAACAGGATGTACAGTGCTGGATAAAACCAGCCAACCTCTTCCACTTCTGCTACCTCCATTATTTATTTTTGCAAGGGCAAAGTCACTGCATGCTGCGCCTCACAAGACGGTTGTGATTGGAGTAAAGAAATGTTACTTTAATTGCCTCACCAAAATGATAATATGTGGAGCCGGAGCCCAGCACTGTGGGAGCAGGTCTTCCTTTGCTAGACCCAATAGGCAATAACCAGATTTCGGAGTTGTGTGATTCACAAAACAAGACGTAAAGTAGTTGTGAGAGACCATTCAAAGTTAAGTTAAAATTGTTATAAATACACCTAGTGGAATAATGCTATTGTACTGTCAGAGAGTTGTGTGTGTTAAGTGAAGTGTTTCCATGGATAAAAACAAAAAGGAAACTCACAAAAGCAGCTCCTACTGCAATGCCGGCAAACCCCATCTGCAATAGAGAGAGAGAGAGGGATGTCAGCCAGCGAAGAAATGTCTTTAGGAAGGACTGTTTAAATGACTCCAAGAGCTGATTCCATTTAGTGCACAAAGGAGAACATTTGTGAAGGGCAAATGTTAAAGAGTCTCACCTCTGTGATCGGAGTGTCGATGATACGTTTGTCTCCGTACTTCTTCCACAAACCCCTGCTCACCTACACACACGCACACAAACACATAGTATTACCATTACAATTACTAAAATTGTATTATTAATCAAAAATGATGGACATAACAACAACCTGTAACAACATTTGAAATTTCTAATATTAAAATATTTTTTGTTTTCGATTGACTGAGTGGATGAAACACCAGATTATGGTAAAAAAAATGTTTCAAACTTTTAACATTTTGCACAAGCCCTGCTTTATAAAACTCATCCTCTGATTCCTGCATCAATTACCTTGTAAGCTCCGTCGTACTGCGCCACCTCCTCACCCAACAGGAACACCCGCTCGTCCCTCTCCAGCTCCTCGTCCATCGCCTGGTTCAGCGCATCACGGACCATCATCTGAAATTAGATGAAACAACAACAACACCGTCAGCCAGAGGACAGCGTTTATTCTCGTGTCTCTCAAATGCCAAGCCATCCAGTAAATGAGGCGTAAGCTGTTTTTCAGTTTTCAGCAATATTTATTCTTCTAGTCTAGAAGATGCATTTAAACCCTCTGAAAAGAAAATTCTAAGGAAATGCAATCAAAGTAAGAAAAGTAGAAGTAGTTACTTGCAATTTTGTATTTTTAACCACTACAGCAACACATATTCCATTCTATGTGTATACAATTTTTATACCTTTACCTTTATTGATCACCATAAAATAAATGTATTTGTTGCTCCAGCAGCATAATGACACAAATTAAGATAAACAGAGGGAGTAAAATAAATAAATGAGTAGTGTATAAGAATATATTAAAAATATATTTAGAATATTTAAGAGCATATGGATTAAAACATCGCAAGGTCAAAGTCTGTATGATGTGCTGTGTGGCATAAGTAGCGATATATTATAACATATAGCATAGTACAGCAATATGACATAGGATAGTAAATACAAGACAATCAAATAGGAAAACAGCATTATATACTATAATAAAATGTCGTACAACACAATATCATTTAGATGGATATATTCCAAATATTGCGTATTGATGATGAATTCAAGATGAAAGCTATTTTTGTTTAACATGATGTGACATCTCTGCTCAGTGACCGGACAACGGCAGAAACCATTACATTTATAGTAGGGAGAGGTGGAACATGGTCCGACTTGCTACCACTAACAATGACAACTGTAGTTTGTCATTACAATTGTGCCTTTAAAACAAATAAAACCTGACAACAGCTGGAGTATTAGCTGTAGCTACAGTTAGCATGCTAGCTGCTAACACTGACCTGTACGGCGGCCGGAGCGCTTTTATGGAACCCTCGCTGTCCCAGAGCCGACACGGCATTCTGGAGAAGAGAAAACAAAGAGACGCCGTTACTGTCACACATCATTAAAACACACAGAACAGTATTTTGGTAGTTAATTCATACCTTTCCTGAGCGGAGAAAGCATCTCACTGAAGCCGCCATGTTGAACCTGTCCTCTGTCGGAGACAAGGCGGGGACTCTACGTAGGTCAGGAGGTTTCGGCCAATCAGAACTGCAGGTTACGTGTTGGGAGGGATTTGCAATAACAAAGGGCCAATCACAGCGGGTCAGAGGAGAAGGAGGCGGGGGAAACTTCGAGAGCGGAAAAAAATAAAAAGACTTCCAAGGACACTGTGCTGTCATGATGTATGGAATGCCAATCGTGACACAATAATAAAGAAAAAGAAGATTGAGCTTTGGAAAAATTAAATGACCAATTCAGAACTGGCACATCACAGTCGCATTTTTTAAATTAATTTTGTTATGGATAAAATATATTTATGTTTGCACACAGATATTGATAAATTGACAATCTAAATAGTAGGTCAGAGATTGATGTCCCCGGAAAGGCCCTGATTACTGGACTGTGGTATAGGCAGTAGGAGAGCAGGAGAAAGAGAGAGAGTGCACTGGTTACGGGGATTGTTGTTAGCATCTGGTGCTGCTAGGTAGCTGCGCTAACAGATACATTATGAGAAGCTTTTTCTACAGGAAGGTGGAGATAGAGCTCTCTCCTGTCAGACTGAGAGACTCTGATAACTACAGCTCAGTGAGGTAAAGGACTGAGTGTTTAGATAGTTAACTTTAGTCTAAGTTATCTCAGTGGATCTCAAACCTTTTGGTCACCATTAAAGTAAACAAGTATTTCCAAGGGACACGTCTATCTATTTAATATAGTTGTAAAAAATCTGACGTGAAATCATTCCAATTGAAAAAAAAATCAGTTGAAAAGGGAACTGATTAGTAAAATATGTATGACTAAAAATAAAAATGTATAGGTAACATATACGGGGGGGAGGCTTTAAGACCGGTGGTAGAGGACCTGCACGCTCACCAATATAAATGAACAACACAAATAAAATAAACCAGATTGAAGCATTTTACATTAAAATGTTTGTCTTTTTAAATCTCCAGCTAAAGACTTGCCTAGGGCAGCAAATTCATGGGTACCACGTGATATCACTGTGTTCTAGCGCCGCCATTTTTGTGTCCGGTCACAGCAAGTCATTACAACAACAGAGAACACGGAGGAAGCAGCAGACGAAGATACATCGTGAATAATAAAGTTTGTGTATATGCCTGGGAGTTGTTGTGCTGTGGGCTGTGACGGTCGCCAGAGGAACCCCGGACTGCAGTTTGTATCGATCCCCAAAGACTTAGACCAGGGGTGCCCAACCTTGTCGATCGCGAGTTGTGTCTAAAAATAGAACAACAATATTCTGTTTTATCTTTAATGTCCTGTAACCTAATCTTCCTGTGCCAAAATAATGCACTTGAACGCATCAAAGTTTTGTGATTGGCCGGCGTGACCCCATGTGTCGGGGCGCGGCTGGTGGGCAATGGGCACTAGTTCGCTGACATTGTGGGTGTCAACAGGAGTGGCCGTACACGCAAGACCGCAATTATGGCAGAAGCAAAAAAGCCCAAAATATATAATTTTCACTCCGAGTGGGAGGATGATTATTTTTTTATCTATTCCAATTCAAAGTCCATCTGTCTAATCTGCAATGCGAGTGTGGCTTTATCGAAGAAGGGTAATTTAGGAGCGGCATTTCAAAACAGTGCACAAATGCTACGAGACGGAATTCCCTTCTAATTCTGCCCGACGCTCCCAAAAGGGGAGGGACCTGAAAGGACAGCTAAATGCACAGCAGCCCATTTTCACCAGGCCCAACAACAAGAGCAAGGCTGCTAGTCTAGTGATGGGATTTATGGCTCTTTGAAGGGAGCCGGATCTTATGGCTCCGTTCCTTTCAAAGAGCCGTTCAAAAGAGCCGTTTTTTTAAAGGGGGCGGGGTTACTAGGTTTATCTGCGAAATAATCACCAGGATAATGACTGACTGTATTGTCAGACCTAATGTCAATAATCTGCATTGTAAACATGACAAAAGGTGGCACCATATTCATGTCAGTGAATGTATTTTGAATG